ATCAAAGGTATGAAATTATTAGATGAACAAGGTAGGTAACTCTCGATCAATTCAATGAAAATAGAATATGTTGAAAAAATTATTCAAACTTAAATTCAGACCGAACAAAATTCGTAGGTATAGTTTTCAAAAAATTTAAAAATTCAAGCATATCAATTTCAAATGTTCATCAAATTATTCACGCTATATTTTTAAATTTCGTATAATGCCAAGTATCAGAATCAAATTATAATCTCATGCATAGAATGAGGAAGAACACACCGTGACTAATCATGATGTTCAACAATGTCAACATGCGAACTTCACTGGACCACATAACCGCTGTTTGAATCGTTCACATGAATCTTAATTAAAAGAATCGCATACATATCCGTGACTTAGTAAAGCAGAAGTTAATTAAAAAAATTCATTTAAATTTATCTATCGAACAGTCGAAGAAGATTGTACTTTGAGACATCAAATTAATTTTCATTTCTGCTTTTGTCTGCATGTGCATGTGAACGCGTTTCAGGTACATTTCTTGTGCATGCACCTATGGGTAAGTTTATTTTTGTTATTGAAATTTGCACACATGTGCTCATTGCTAACCTTTAGATATAATGTGACCTTTAAATAATATTAGATCTTTTTATGACGACGAAATAGCAGACAAAAACATGATGATCATTTTCAAAGCAATACTTTCACAATTTTTTCAAGCTGTGTTTATTACGACACACCTCCATCTCCACTGAAAAACCAACAGAACTTAATTAATACAAAAAATATTGATGATGCGTACGTACCCAGTGACGTCTGCCAAGCATGCGTGGTCGCAAATGAGACTTTTTATTGCACATCTAATAAGACTCAAAAATGATGATCTTACGTATTATAAGTACACACACCACACACACACACACCACACACACACGCATATATATATATATATATATATATATATATATATATATATATACATGTATAATTGTACGTATATATATATATATATATGTTAAGAAATATCACTGCATTTCCAGTTTTGATCAGTTTCTGGTTCAATTTTTTAATATTTCGTACCGTATTTTTATCATCGTTTGACAACTTTTTCATATAGAAAACAAAGTTTTTAACAACTTTTTTATTCATTTTTTTATACAGAAAAAGCTTTTCTTCGGTAATCCTTTACCGTTTTTAATGTAGTAGGTTATCAACTATTGGTTGCATCTTGTATATACTTGCCTGTGCGCCCCTACTTTAGTGGCTCCAATAACTCACTTTGCGTTGATCCATTCTTTCTTTTTTATTAGAAATTTTTATTAAATGAAGAAGAACAATGGATCTCCGGAATGTCAATTTTTGGAGCCAATAAAGTTGGAAAAAACAGGTATTGGGTTGTTCGGAAAGTAATTTTGCTTTTGTGGTGAAAATGAAAGACGATCTTCGTATAATGAATATACATTTTATTAAATTATATACTGGCCATTCTGTTTCAACACCTTTTGCCATCTTTCTGGTAGTAGCAAGACTCCAAGCTCATAAAATTTATGATCTTTACTTACAAAAACTGTTCCAGATGATTTTGACGTGTTCATTTGGTTGGAGGTAAAGGTTATAACGTTCAAAAAATGTTGCAGTGACCGTAACAAATAATAATTCGAAGGAGCCAGGTTGGAGATTATACTTTCCGAACTATATGACACAACCAATATTATAGTAGATGTGAATATAAACATAAATGTAATTGAATGTAGGTATATTTTTATACATAATATTATATTATGTATATTATGTATTTATTCTAAGTTTGGGTATTTTGGACACATTACTACGGTGTTTTGTACGTAATGTACTAATGTACGTTGACGTCTGTACGTGCTGTCAAATCCATACATGACTCTCCTCTACACGATGGCGCGGATAACATACAAATCAATAGAATTGCCTCCAGATGCATACGCAAATTTTGTATGCTTGTAAACTATCAGCATCGTCGTCGTCTTCGTTATCATCACCATCATTCTCTTTTTCAGGATATCATAACCGTCCCTGTCATCATCATCATCTTCGTCATCATCATCATCTTTATTTTTCCTTATCATCGTCATCAACAATTTAATAACTATCATTATCGTTTTATTATCATCATCACCATCATTGCCATCGTCATCATCGTCGTCTCCATCGTCGCCATCATCGTCATCTTCATCCTCATCTTCATCATCGTCATCATCGCCAAACTTCAAACTGACCAACGTGAAGAAGGAAGAAATCAATATTCCCGCTATTTGTAGATTCTTAATATTTGTATTCTATGTGTATGTATTCCTTGTATGTTTGCATATATTTCTGTTTGTATTGATTGTATGTTTCTTAATTTAGCTGCTTGTTTGTATATTTTCATGTTTGTATATTCTCACATTCTCATGTTTTTATGTCTCTGAGTTTAGTTGTATGTTTGTATACTTTTGCTTATTGTTGTATGTCTGTTTATGTATATTTGTATGTAGTTGTATGTTACGGCATTTGTATAAGTATGTTTCTAAGTTTCCGTGTTTGCATTGTTTTTATGTTTCTGAGATTCGTTATATGTTTTGTTTGTATATATGTGAGTATGGTTGTATGTTTATTTTGCCTATTTTTATAATGGTACGTTTTTCTATTTGTATGTTTGTATGTTTCCGATTTAGTATATGTGTATTTTTGTTTGTTATTTTATTCTTCTACCTTACTTTTGTTTGCTTGTTTGCATTTGTTTGTATTCACGTTTTTGTGTTTTTTTGGTATATTTTTAGTATTTGTGTAGTTACGGTATTTTTGTACACTCTACTGAAATTATTCAAAAACACCTACAAAATATAAACTAAACTATTACAAGCCAACAAACATATTAAGGTATAAATATACAAAAAAGCGTTCACAAACAATTTACATATACAAACAAAAAACATACAAATATACCCATACAAATATAGTAACATATACAAACAATAAACATACAAACCTACCCATACAAATACAGTAATATAAATTTTTCTTTCAAAAACAGGCTGAATGTTGGAGCACTTTGTTGTTAATTTTGCCTCAATTTTTGTCCGGTACCAAGAATTTGGTTAGACTGAGAATGGTTCCTCTTGCAAACTTCACAACATCTTCTATTCACCATTCAATTGACTTTCCTCCCTAGATGAGGTGTGCTGGTTCATTAAATGAGCGTCAGTGTTTTATTTTGGACCGACACAGATGTTAAAGTTATCTTACCAGTATGTCACTGCTGTATTTTAGGGGACTGAACTGCAGATGCACTGAATTTACTTGAACTTTTTATAATGATAATAATTATATTGATTCAATAAAAGTCATTTTTACTGTTGATATAAGTGTAACATGATGTAGAATCGTTTTGGACAAAATTAAAAAAACGTCAAAATAGTTTAATGGGTCACATAAACTCAGCCAAAAAATGTTTAATCGAATAATTTCTGACACAACCAAATATTTTATCAAAATTATGAATATATGTCTAAACGTGCCCAGTGCACAACAGTCGTCTCGTGCTGTTCTCCACCGACTGCGTGATGATAATTAAAATCTGTATTTATATTCGATAGGGCAAGCAATCTCGAAACTTCGTGCAATCTCAAACAATTAAGAATTCTATGAAACTTTTGATATTTTAAAAAGGCGTGATTTATTAACAATCAACTTTTGATAAATTCTTGGTTTCATAATTCATTAATTATAAAACAAGAGAAATGAATAATAAAACAAAAATAGTTAAATCAAAAAAGTACCATAAGCATTATTCATAGTTTGCGTTGAAAGAACAAAAATTGATTTTGATTTTTTTTCATTTATTTTCAAATTTGTTCAATTTTTGTTATTTTGCTCAGCATACACTTATCATGCTCAGACCTAAATAGTGTTTTTTTTAATTTCAAATATCTTTTGCAAAAGTCATTGCGGTTTTCTATGTTACCGAAATATTCAATATCTACATTAATGCTCTTAATCTGAATGAAAAACTTTTTAACCATGTTAATATGTTAACATGCATCAAGTTTCAAACTGATTTTAAATCAATCTTACCGTACTTCTTTTGACTGCCATTAACATTGGATTAATATGTTTGAGGTCAAAAATATGCCTTTATTTTTCTAGCAGAATGTACATATAATTAGTTTATAAAATCGTTATTTACTTTTTTGTTCAGTAGTTTTATTTCAATTCCTATCTCTTTGTATTTTATTTCAATTCCTATCTCTTGTATTAATGTTGATGCATGCGGTATGGTTCATTGGTAACACGAAAAGAATGTTTACCTATTTCAACCGGTATTTATATTTTAAAATTTAATTAGCATTTCAAAATTTTTCTGGATTATAGCTTAGGTGCATAATATCTCCTAAACAAATATAAAAATGATAGATATCCAAAGCTTAACATACTGCCCTGTCGAATGAAATACATATATGAGCGTGGTTTTTTTCAGAAAATAATTTTCTTCTGGAACTTGTTTTTAACGTCAGACATACATTTAGTTCGTTATTCATCTACAAAATGTTCATTTTTTTTCTCTATCAGCAGCATAAAGAATGCTAGCTCCCAGCTTATTTGAAAAGCAACGAGACACTTTTTTCTATTTTTGATAAAATTTCTACCGATAAAGTAACATTAAAACAACTAACTCGCTTTTTGTCAAAATTAACCATCAAAATTTATTTATTCACAATTTTTTTTTTTTCAAAACATATTGAACTAAAAGTATAATGACGACAATAACGCACGCACAACGCACGAAATATGCTTTTAATCATTTAAACTCCGAGTGATAACACTGATTCACATATTAGCCAGTTAGTAACAGCCACAAGTATAGTAACAGTTGCCACAATGCATACAGTACCATTATAACCGTGTACAACAGTAAAATGTTTGTTATACCTATATGGATATACGTATATGTGTATGTGTATATACACAATTGTAGTGTGTACACAATGGAAGTTTGGTTACATAATCTATACATCAGTCAACAGCGTTTTGTTTTTTGCTCGTACTGCCACCGGTTCAAATGCAGAGCAACGATCAACAACAACATTGCTCGCATCTTCAAGAACAGGGGTTAATCTACAAGTGTCATCTGATTGGTTGTTCAAGAGTGACGTCAGCGATGAAGACAACGAATCAGCGTTGGCGTTTGGGTATGGGTCATTAATAAGAGATGTGTTGTTGTCTTTGTTAGATGAAGTACATAATGTTGTGTTGTTGTTATTGTTGTCACGTGAGTATGGATCGTATGAAAAGTCGCTATAGATGTCTTTAAAAAGTGTATTGTTGGTGTTGCTGTTGTTGTTGTTGTATCTGTTCAAAGTGTTGCTCTTGCGATTATTATTACAGAAAGTAAGTTGAATTTTATTCGGTTGAAGTATGGCAGAGTTGTTGAAGTTGTTGATGGCAGTTGTTTCGTCACTGAATGAACTATCTTCATGTGGCATCATCAGCAACTGATCCAGGACAGGTGACCATGTTACACTTTTTGTGGCGTTTGATGTTGTTGCTGCTGTTGCTGCTGAAGTTGCTGTTGATGCTGCTGATGAGAAAGCGGAATGTTGAAAACACAATGAGTTTGCGATGTTGTTATTTTTTGTGTTGGCGACGTATTGAGTTGGGAAGATTGTTGCAATTTGCTGCTGTTTGCTGGTCTGTTGTTGTGTGTTGCTGTTTTGTTGATAACACTGAGGTTGTTGTTGTTGTTGCTTGTTTTGATGCTGTTCATGGGTTTGTTGTTGGTGATAGTTTTGGTGAAATTTTTGTTGAGGTGAGTAGAGAGGAAGCGTGTTAGTTGATCTTAATGTTTGGCAACCAGATGAGTATGAGTAGTTGTTGTTGTAGTTGTTGTTGTTGCTGTTGTTGAAGTTGTTATTAGTGGGTGGGTTATATATGTTTTTTGATGACATCAGTGTTTTTGAAGGGTGTTGCTTTACAAAGGACATCTCATGTTGGTTAGTTGAAAATTTGTTGAAAGCCAACGATGTTTCCTCAAAAACGACATCATGCGGGTGATGTATATGGTTGTGCGACTGCTGTGACCTAGAGAGAGAGTGATGCTTATAATATTTCTGCTGATCATTATTCATGCCTGGTTTTATGAGCGGTTTGATTTCAGCTTGGTTAGGAAAAATATTGTTTGAACTGATGATGCTGTTGGTGATGATGTTGTTGTTGTTGTGAATGTTCACGTTGTTGATGTTGTTGATACTCGGACATGAAAGTTGATGGTCGAAATCGTTCACAGCGTCTGACCTCTGGTGAGAGCTGTTGTTGTCGACTACTTTGTGGCGTTGCTTGTTCTTCTTCCTGGTTCTGCGACTTTTTCGTTTCAATAAATAAGAAAGTGCTACATGTATAACATACCTATATATGCGTTTCGAATTATAGTCGTCTAATTATTTTCATGACTATGATCTATTGTTTTTTTTAATTTTGATGAATAAGAAAAATTCATAAAAGGCATTGGAGTTTTTATAGAAACTGGAAATAACCTTATGAAGTTATTCATTTTCATATTTGTTTGAAAATAAATTTTCCAACTGCTGACAATGCATTGAAATATAAACCTCAGATAATGGAGCCATAAAACATGCGGACGATAAATTTCCATGAGGGATAATGCATCTCTATGCACTGAGTGAATTAACACGCCGATAAATGTACCAACAAAAGAATAAAGATTTGAAATTTTGCTCTTAAACATAACAACATAAGTAAAATTAAATTTTTTTTTTTATTCAAAAGGTATACATTGATATAAATTATATCAGAAAAAAATCAAATTAGAAAAAATCAAATTAAAAAAAGTAAAATATTCAGAGTTGAGAAATGTCTACTTACAATTGGAAGGCAAAATAGCAGATGAGTATAGATGTGAAGACGGTCACTGCTATCATGCCGCTCGTTATTCCAACCAGGAATGCTGCAAATTATGACACGGACGAGATGATGTCGGCGGTGATGATGATGAAGGTGATGTGAATGATGATGATGAGAATGGTAATGTGAATGATGATGATAATGATGATGAAAGTGATGTGAATGATGATGATGAGAATGATGATGACGTGGAATGACGAGGACAAGTACATCGAGAATTATGATGATGAAGTGATGATGATGATGTCGATGATAATGCTTGAATCAACAAAGAACGTTAAGTCTGTAATGCTAATGACTAGAGTGATAACAACAGCAGTGATGATGTCAACGTTGAAAATGCTGATGATGATGATGTTGCCGACGTTTTCATTGATGATAACAACTGCGATGACGTCATCAGGATGACGGAATAACATTTTTTTCTTTATATTTTTTGATAAATAAATAGCAAAAATAATAATATTTGAAACACGAGATGATGACGATGATGATCCTAATAACATCTATAGAAAACTCAACTTTTCAAACGCTCAAAATAATAATAAAGTTAATGATGATGATGACGATGTGTCTGCTGGTGACATGATGAAGATTGCTGTTAAACAGATATCACTAAAACGACAAAATGACATCGACGATGATGACGTCATACAATAATATTTGTTGAAGAAGTGGTGGGGATGACGTGAGTGTGATAGAGGTAGGAACACGTTGGCGAATGTTTTGACAATGAAATGCCATTGCCAGAACAAAAATATGCAATATAATTGCTGGCGGATATGACGATGATGACGATGATGACGACGACGACGATGATAGATGTAAAATAATAATTTGTTTTTTTGGGAAAAAATTATGAAGAAATTTTGTCATTGCAATGTCGTTGGCGCTCATTCCATTCTGACGTCTTGATGGGTTTTATTTGAAAATATTATAAAGCAGATGTGAGAAGTTACTAAGTGTCATGTAGGAAAAATAGAAAGTTGTGTTTTATATAATAAATGATTATGATGATGACAAGTAGAATTAATTATAAGATCATATTAAAGATATGAAACTTTACAAAATATGTTTTAAAAGTTAATAAATAAAATGAAATTCTTAATATAATAATTATTTATAAAAAAAAAACATTGCATGTAACCCTCAACAACAAATGGAAAATAAGCTGAAAAATAAACATTCAAAAAAATTAAGATAATTATCCTGTATTCTATGGATGGCCTACTGAAAATCAGGATCAGGAATTCATGGGTTTTTTCCAGGGTCAACTCAATTCTTCTGTGATCGTAATGACGTATAACGCATTAAAATGGATTTGCATGAGATTATACAATCTGAACTTATAAACATTTTTCGCTCTGTTCGTTTGGATATTATTCAAGTGCGTGTATCACACTTCTTATCTAGAATGTTGTCTCATTGGTTGGATGAAGATTTGTAGCTAAGTAGGTCATAGTTCGCTTGCATATGTATCAATGAATATGCTGGGAAAAAGTCTGACTATTTTGTTTGATGAATGCATGCAAACGAAAAACTAATTACTTGCTATTTAACGAAAAAGCTAAATTAATGGAATGAATGACGTCTGAAAGGCTGGTTGAATGAACGAGCGATGGCCCCAGATGCTTAATGAATGCAATGAACAATTTAATTGTAAAAATTAAAAAATCAAAACAAAAATTTAAAAATAGTGTAGGTGAGAAAAGGATGATACTTAACAACATTTTGAAATGTAGTTTTGATAACATTTTGCGTTATGAGTCATCATCGTCGTCATCATCATCACAATCACCGTATCCAATATCATCTTCAACATCATTTCAATCACTTTTACCATCACATCATCATCGTCGTCGTCACAATTTCATCATCAGCATCATCAATAAGATAAAGAAGAACTCACTATACTGACTGATAACGATGATGTCGAAGAAGAGGAAGAAGATGACAAAATATTAATGACGACGATGATGATACTGAGTAGGATAGTGATGATGACGACAATGATGATACTGAGTAGGATAGTGATGATGACGACAATGATGATACTGAGTAGGATAGTGATGATGACGACGATGATGTACTGAGTAGGATGACGACTATCTACCTGCTATGATAATGTTAAGTACGAGTGATTTACTGGAACGCCAATAAAAAAGATAGGACAATGTTTGTTTATCAGATTTTGCTGAGCGCACTGAATTAATGCTTCGAAGAAATGTGTATTTCACGATTGAAGACCAATCTTTGCATTATTATTATTATTATTGTTATTATTATTACTACTACTACGTTTATCATTATTTTTATTCTTATTATTATTATCTCTATAATTACTATTACATTATAATTTATATTATAATTACTATTATAATTCCAAATGTTAAAAATAATAATAATAATTAACGATGTTATTGATGTTAGTGAACAATAAGAGTCAGTCTTTTTAGGTTAATGTAAATTAAATTAAATTTTATTTACAACACACACACACAAATATATATATATATATATATATATATACATATATGTATATATATATATATATATATATATAGGTTCGAAATGATGAGAAATCTAATAAAAAACTACCCAAAGCTAGAAATTCGGTAGATTTTATAAATTACTGCATTAATTATGGTCTTTGGCTACTTATTTACCAACATATATTTAAATACACACACACACACACACACACACACACACACACATATATATATATATATATATATATATATATATATATATATATATATATATATATATATATATATATATATATATAATATTACTGTGTGTACGTCTTTGTCTGCGTTTAAGCAATAATTTTATTTATTTCTAAAAAAAAATGTTTCATTTAAAAAATCTACTTAAGTAAGTGTGGTTCTTCTGTTTAGAATTCCATCCAGTCGATGATACAGCAGTGATTTGGGCAGATAACATTAATATCATGCCATGCAGTAGACAGACAGACAGGTACACAGATGGATAGATAGATAGAGGGATAGACAGACAAACATATAAACAGACAGACATATAGATGGGTAGACATATAGATAAACATGGATATACAGACTTACAGACAGACTGGTGAAAAGATGAATAAGTACACATACAAATAAACATTCAGAGTTGAGAGGTACAAAACAATACCACAAACTGATAGTACGATAGAACAAAAGAATACAAAACTTTCAGAAAAAAATTCAAAATTTTTATCTTCTCTTTTATGTTTTAGATATTTTCTTTCATTTATTTTTCTACACAATATTTTCTCAGTAAATATTTTATTCCATGTTATTTTTTTATCCCGTCTTTCATCTGATTTTTAAGCACTTGAGCTAGCAGGCCAATAAG